GAGAGAGAGAGAGAGAGAGAGAGAGAGAGAGAGAGAGAGAGAGAGAGAGAGAGAGAGAGAGAGAGGTTGGCTACAACGTGCCAAAATTGAATCGATATCCGTGTTCACCGTGTAATTGTCACGCAGTAGTGAACTATGGAGAGAATTTGGTCTCACATATGGTTTTCACCAGTTCATAAGGTTAGCCATATTTGAGATGATTTATCTCAACAATTGACAGAAAGAAAGAGACAAATGTCCTTTTTTGTCTCGCTGTGCTTCAGACGAATGACGATTCTGTCTCTCTCTCCAACTCTCTCGCATGTATGACCATAGCGAAAGAACATGAGTTTCTCATAAGTCGACTCATAAGTCTCGCTGTGCCCACAAACAATTGCAAGTACCAATAAACATAACAATTCGTGTGTCTCATGCCAATTTAACCGACACGTGTGAACAGGAAGACAAACTTAGAACCTTGCGCGCCGTTCGGGAAGGAACGACACTGGTCAGTGAATAAGAAGGTGCAGGTAAGAGAAGCTCAGTGAGCATGACAGAGTCACGGAAAAGCAACACGCGTGGTGGAGGCAAGATGTCTTCGTATGCGTGTACACAAACGGCGACTTGTCCCAGCACAAAAAATAACAATGAAGAGTCACGCAGAGAGGTCGCAAGCGAACCGTTGTTGCCACTGATTAGTGGGAGGTCGGTAAAGAGGTGTAAAAAAATGTTGAAGGACCCTTGGTACGCGAAAATGTATGGTATGATGACGGAGGGCGAAGTAAAGTTACCCCAGCTGATGGTTGAAAAGTCATCTGATGTGAAGGGAAAGGCGAAAGTTGGAGACATGACTACAAGGAGAGAAAAAAAAAAAAACCACTAATAATGAGGCCAAATATTCCTTTTGACATGAAATTAAGGAGACATGCCATTCCTGTAACAGAATCCGATGTTGCACGATTGGTCGACAATGAATGGCTGAATGACAACATTGTCGACATTTTTTTGAGTCTGTGTATGAAGAACACTCGCCGGCACCGGACAGCGCAACAGTCCATGTGTGCACAACTTTCCGGCATCCCCGCATCATTGCTAATCAAAAAATGCCTTGGACGAAAAACGGATGGGAAGACACGATCAACAACAAACCACGGAAGTTGCATCGACTAAGCAATGAATTGCAACGCACAAATGTAACTATAATACCAGTGAACCATAGCAAACATTGGGTTTTGATTCCGTTGCTCAATCTGAGAGACTTCTTGGCAGTCCATGAGGATGACAATGTCGACGAACCTCCGATTGTCATCGTTGTTGACTCCTTTAGAGGGAAGAAATAAGGGGAATGGAAGGCCTTGCGAACATTTCTGTGACACGAGGACCTCCACGAGGCATCCTGCGCGAGGGTGTTGACGCCGGAAAATGTTGATACATCCTGGGTGACATGTAGAGATCTACTAGGATGTAAACTGTTGCATGCGGAATGCCCGCAGCAGAACAATATCACGGACTATAATGTTTATGCATGTTGTATCGCTGCCACAATTATACAATTTCTTGTAGTAACCACGCCGACAGATGTAAGAGCTAAGGACACACTGGAAGTTGTTAATATGACAGAGGTAAACGAAAGAACTGTTTTCCAATTTTGTCAGTCCATGGTGGACCATGTAGCGTGTTGTGCTGCAGTTGCAAAAGGTCAAGACACAGTTGCGGCTTCACACATAGCGAAAGCGTTACGAGGCCCCATAAAAAGAAGACATAGCAGTACTTCATAAGACATTAATCGTCGTTCTGAATGTAAAAGGTAAGTGTCGAAGAAAAGTTCGACTACAGCGCGCAAGTTGAACACAAAGACCGGTCGCTTGACCAGTTGATTGGCACGAAGTAGCCAACCTTCTCGCAACGACAGTCGGGGAGCTAACTTCCATGAATTTTTTGGTGATGATCCCTATTTTTTCTTCCTTCTAATGGCTATGTGAATTCATGCCACCTTACAATACGGA